TGCGAGCTCCTTTTTATCGAGATCTTGCTATGTTGCTTGGCTCTTCTTTAGTTGCCTCCCCTCACCGTCTACAGCCCGCAGTTTCATTTGTTTTGCCACTTGGGAGAGTTCAGGATCACAATATTGCCAATTTTAAGTTTTAATAAGTTTTCTCACCTTTTCATGGCTGTCTTTAAAAAGAAAAATATATACATACAATGAGCAATAGTTGGCATTCTGAATATTGGTTGTTATGTTACAGTTGAGATGAAAACGTTAAGAAACACAGCCACATCCCATTCCCTTAGAAGACTTTTGGTTGTAAAAGTGCTTTAAAGAAAAGTTGGCAGATAAGAAAATGAAAAGAGGGATCTCCATTCATATAATTGTTGCTTAGTAAACTCGATAATGGAAGTTTTGGAGGGTTCTTGTGTCACTCAGCAGGTGTTAGTTCTACTCCAAGAGAGGAGTACATGGTTGGGTGGGAGGCACTGGGAGATTTTCTCTCCTGCTGGGTACAAGTAGTTTTTATTCCTTATTTAGGTCCGATACTCCACAGTGCAGTGTTATGTTATATTTAATAAAAAATAGCAAGCCATCTAAATGTTTAATCAAAGGGAACAGTGTGGTAAATACAGCACATCTACTTGATGAATGCTTCTGGTCATTATTAAGAAGGTGATTACTAAGACCATAACGGAAAAATAGTATGATGTAATGTTGAGGGGAGAGAAACAGAATGTAAAATGACATGTCAGCTGAGATTTAAGGGCTTTTTTAAAAGTGAAGAGTGTCTACCGTACAGACAGCCTCTCAGAGACTGAAGGCTGGATCCAATGGCTGGTCAAAGGTGCCCCCCATGGGGCCTGAGCAATGGGATTGTGACCTAAATCTGAAGCTAAGTAAGCAATAAATACTCCTGAATATGGATAAATATGTTTAAAAAGAAAAAGAGACCTACTTTAGGTAAACAGTGTTACCATTTGGTATCAAGAAAAACAAATTTGCTTGCTGGCCCCTTTCTTCTCCTCCTTTTCCTTGTCTCCCCTAATCAGGTACTTTCCTTTGAGCTGTTTCTTCTAAAATTGGCAGACAAATTATCTTCCTCATCAAATTAATGTTTGCCTACCTCCAATAAAGCTCAGACCCTGTGGTTAGGCACACTGCTGCCCATGGCCTGGAGCTTTCTCAGAATGGTGAACTCTGTCTGTGACTGGTGTTACTAGCTGAACTCCTCCACATTAGGACTTGTTGCTGCCTCCTTCCCAGGGTGTCTAGGAATGGGATTGGCAATAATGGCCCATTGCCTGGTTCTCACAGATGCGTGGTCTGGAAGGTAACTTAGGCAGGTGAGCAGGTGGAGTGTTTGTGATGCAAGACCCTTGGCACATTGTCATAAAGTTGCCTGTGAATTACATGGAGATTTGGAAATAATATCCTGCTGTTGGGGGAGGGAGATGGAGGGAGGGGGGAGAGAGAGGGAGGGGGAGACAGAAAGAGGGAGGGAAGGAAGAGGGAGGGAGAGGAAGGGGGAAGAGGGAGAGAGAGGAGGGAGAGGGAGGGGGAGGAGGGAGAGGGAGGGGGAGGAGGGAGGGAGGGGGACAGAGAAGGGAAGGGATGGGGGGGAGAGAGGGAGGCATAGAGAGAGAGGGAGAGAGGTGGCTGCCAGTTTCTTGCATTTTGGGCATCCTGCTCTTAAATAGGCATGAGGGTCATTACTAGAGGACTTTTTCCTCAGAGGAAGTCCTTTCAGTGCTCTCTCTACTCTGGGACTTAGCCCCTTATCATCCTTTTGCCCTGTTCTGCCATCTCCTTTGCGGGCTGTGCTTTCTCGACAGTGCCTCTCTCCTAGGACTCTTGGAGTATGGATGCAGTTCACCCAGCCTGCCTCCTTTACTGTCCTCACAAAGCCATGTCAGTTGAGGACAAGTGGAAAAGGCAAAATTCAACTCTCTCTCAAATCTCCTTCCTTCCTACTTCTGCAGTGGTAGAGTTGAGACATCTGTCCCTGCACAGAAGCACACAGTTAAGAGTTAGCTAACCACTTGCCTTTCTTTCTTCCTGACTCCTCACCTCCGAATCTGGGAGCCTTGAGAGATCATGCAGAGTGTAGCCCTCGATGGGCTCTAGAGATGACCTGGCTCGCCCTCCTTTTTCTGGATGAGGAAAGTGATGCCCCAAGGTCATTGCTTGAGATCACATATTCCCAAGTGGCAACTACAGGACAAGATCCCAGATCCCTCCCATCCCAATCAGGTAGCCTTTTCATTATATCCTTAGGCTTACTTGAGTGACTTTCTTGACCCCAGAAACTTCTAGGATGCTCTACAGGTTTTCTGTATAGCTTTGTCCAAGGGCCGTCTCTTTCACAACACTTATAGAGGGACCCAACCAGAAGAGAATTCTTCATCCTCCAATCTCCCTTAGCCACCTTTTACACCATGCAAAGCATTTGTAGTCTATAGTGCTAGCACCTATTTGGGTTAATTATATACATGTTTTACCCTCCTGACTGGACTGCAAGAGCTGCTTGAAGTCAGGAATTGTACCTTTGTCATTTTTGTTTGTCCTATGATGGGGGCATGGCACTTGGCAATGGTGGATGCTCAATAAACCCTATGCGGCACGAACGAACAAGAGAATGAGTGAATAAGCCATGAGCCCACTGGCATAGCACCTTTGTTCCCTCCTGGAGTAGGGTGCTGTAAATCAAAGTGTGATGAATCTCTGGGGACTGGGAGCTTTGTGAGTTATGGGGAAGTCTCCCTGTCTCTCCGGCTGAGTGGGCAGCGATAACATTAAATCTGCAGCCTTGGAGTAGGAGCAGTGATTTAGGAAGTACATTCATATGGGCTCTTCATAAATAAATCAATTAAATTGCTGCCGCGAGCTGGTCAGGCAGGTCTGCCCCTCAGCTGAGCAGGTATGCGGTGCTCCTCTGGCTAGGATCTTGATTGCTGCTGAAAATTGCTCCAGTGTCTGGGTTTCCGCACAGCGTGGGGCTTCTGGTCATCAGCGTTTGCCTCTTTGAGGACTTTCCTCACCGATGAAGAGAGGGCAGAATAGTTCATTGTTTAGTCACTGTGGTTACATCAACCTGGGGCAGCTGCCCCAACTTTAGGCTTTCCCTACATGTGGCTGATTTTTTATTTTGGTATGGATTTCTTTACTTGGTAAGTTTCCTTATGGGGGATTCAGTAGCTATGGAGCTCAAAAGTCATGTTTCAATAAAGAACTGTGGGAAGCTCAGCTGATAAGAAAAACGCTCTGAATTTCTGGTCCATTTCAAAAAAATAAGTGGATTTTGGAAATGATGAAGTGACTCCATGCATCGTCCTCTCCATTAAAATCGTTTTGCTTTATCTTAGTCCCAAAGACCAGGGTCTCTGGAGTCAGAAGGTAGCAATTAATTTAGTTGAAATGCTAATTTATATTTCTGAGCTAATAGGAGGTGATGAGTGGAAATTCTCCAACTTCCCTCTTTTCCTCACAGTTTATTTCCTAACAACAAATATCTACTGAGTACCTAACACATGTCAAAAACATGACAGGCTTTGGAGATATAAATATGAAGTACTCTTTGCTTTCAAGGATTTTGTATTTTGATAGGGGTTGCAGATATATGCACTGATGAGAGTATAAAGGAGCAGCCCAGTGATGGAAACTGGATAAAGAGCTCTGGGAATAGGAATGAGACAGAAGTGTATTGGCTTAGGGAAGGGTCACTAAACTAGGACTTAAGGGATGAGTGGGGTTTCACTGGAGGAAGGGAGGGTACTCCAGAGGGTGGGAGTAACATAGAGAAAGGACTTGGAGCATTTTAAGGCATTTAAAGGACTGATCATTCAGGCATCTATTCACCCACAGGTAATTACTGACCAATCCATGTGGTGGGCTCTGTGTCATGCAGGTACTCGTGGAACTGCCTCAGGCAGGGTCTCTGTCTGCCAGGAGCTCAAGGTTTGCATGGAGGGTGGGATTCCTGCAGAGAGAGTCGGGTGCGAGGCTGGGAGGTTGGGCTGGGAGACTGTGTCAGAGGCTCTGGCGCTGGACTGAGGAGTTTGGACTATGGCCAGCAGTGCTCGTGGGGATGGCGTCTAAACCTTCAGTCTATGACTGAAGGACATTGAGGGTATTTCCTTTTTTTTTTTTTTTTTTTTTTTGCTTTCACAAACATCATTGCAGTGAAAAACTTTGTAGTACATACATCATTTCAAGCATGTGAGAGCATGCACATAGGATGAGTGCCTAAAATGGAATCACTGGATCAAAGGGTGTGTGGATTTGGTAAATTTTGTCAAATTCCCTTCATTAGAGGTTTTTCAGCGTTCACTCCTAGCAGCAGTAAATGAGATGCGCTTCCCGGCCTACTCTGCCCCCACCACGCACAGACGCGCACATGCACGCACACACGCACACACGCACACACACACGCGTGGGTGTGCGCACACGCATGAGCTGTAACAAGGACAGTCTTTCATTCTACTCCCCCAAAATTGTCACTCTTGTGGGGGCACAGATGGCCAAGCTCCAGTACTCTCTAAAGGTACATGGGCGTGAGTTTGAGATGGATGAAATTCTATCCTGGACAAATCCAAGACTACCTTCTATGTTTTACCTCAGTTCAGATTTCTGTCCTGTGGGTATGCAGAGTGAAGAATTATGGGAAAAAGTGGTTGGCCCCCAGGTTGTTAGATTCAAAGATTAGGAGTGTCCTCATATATAACTACTAAATGGGACTCATAATAACATGGTAGATGGGTCACTGATGTAGGCTTAAACTCTCCCTGATTTTTTTTTTTTTTCATATTTTCAGCTTCTGCCACTTTCTGGGGAAATGACTGCTCTAAGTCTCATTTGTCTTAAACTTTTAACCTTGGAGTGTGCAGGCCTGTTTAATCAGTCTACTACATCAATAATAGTTGATAAATATAGCCCTTTACATGGGATGATAAAAAGCTGGTAGCATATGATTACTTGGACATGTGACAAGACTTCAAACTTAAATCTGTGTCTTTCAGCATCCCTACCCCCCATAAGTGGAAGATGAAGGCAGAAGTTGTGGTTTCCAGGCACAAATCCCATGTATGTCAAATAGATAACTGAAGCTGGCCCAACTATCTCAGCTGTCATCTCCATCCTCTCTCTGACTACCTGGGGATAAGGAGTGACAAGAGAATGCCCACGTTTAGAATGAAGGTGCTTGACAAAGGCTTACCAGGAGCGATCTTGCAGCTTTTAGCAGGAATATCAAGAGCAAATTGCACAGGTAAGAGGCAGAAAACTGAGTTTAGAGTAGTTTGTAGTTTCTGTATTAAACAGATACTCATTATAGGATTTTAAAAGTCAGGCGAGCAAGCAACTTGCATTTATTCAGGACCTATTTGCTGAGGCACTGTATTAAACAGTATGAAAGGTAATGAATAAGTAAGTAAATAAATAAATACTGCTCGTTTTGGCAGCACATACACTAAAATTGGAATGATAGAAGATTAGCATGGCCCCTGCACAAGGATGACACACAAATTTGTGAAGCATTCCATCTTTAAAAACAAACAAATAAATAAGTAGTTAGGGTCCCAGCTCTTTAAGAAATCAGGAAGGAGTTGGGAAGACAAACCTACATGACCAATTTAATGGCTATATGAGAGTTAACAGTATGAGGTTGCAAATACATGAAACAATTTGGTGCCAAGCTGTTGGGTCTGAGGAACTTAAATAGCTCTGAGCTAAGAGGATTAGAGTCCCCAACTTGAAAGCTCACCACAGCTCTAGGAAAGTTCTTTGGAAAGCTAGGGTGTATCTTGCTCCCTCTTTCCTACCCATCAGGCTTCCATACATCTGTGTTCTTATTGAACCTCTCCCATATGCTTTGCATGCACACTTTGCTTTGGTTCTTTCTCCTGAGGGACCTTTAGGATACTTCCCTCCTTTTCTCTACACATTGGGAATCCACTCAGGGCAGCACCATCTTCCATTCTTTCTAGAGCTCTGTGGTTTATGGCTTTCCCTCATTCATCACAGCAACCTGATCCTGTGCCCCATATTCCCCTTACTAGAGGATAGGGATGCCTTCAGGTCCCCCCAAAATTAAACATAACGTTACCTTATGGCTCAGCAATCCGACTCTTAGGAATATACCCCAAAGAGGTGAAAACAGGGGTTCAAACAGATACTTGTACATAAATGTTTATATGGCACCATTAACAATGGTTAAAAGGTAGAACAACCCAAATGTTTATCAATGAATGATGCATGGTTAAACAAATTTGGTATAGCCATACAATGAAATGTTATTCAGCCATAAAAAGGAGTGAAGTACTGATAGATGCTACAACATGGATGAACCTTGAAAACAATATGCTAAGGGAAAGAAACCAGATCCAGAAGGTCACATATTGTATGATTCCGTTTATATGAAATGTCCAGTGTAGGTAAATCTGTGGAGACAGCAACTAGATTGGTGGATATCAAGGACTGGAGGAGTGGTAAATGGAGAGTATCTGCTTAATGTGCATGGAGTTTTATTTTGAAGTGATACAAATATTTTGGAACTAGATAAAGGTTGTAGTTGCAGAACATTGTGAATGTACTAAGTGCTACTGAATTTTATGTTACATGCAGTCAATTTTATGTTACATGCATTTTTCTTCAATTAAAAAAAAAACCCAAAACAAAACAGGTAACTCCTTCAGGGAACATGAAGTTGGGAACCAGCAGTTTAAACACTCTTCTTCCTGATATAATTGATTTGGGGGTAGGGGGATGTGGGTCATTGAAGAAATAAAACCTTAATGCAGAGGGGTGATTTTTAGAGTGTAGTTTAGGCAATGACAGTAATCCATCAGATTGATACAGAGATTTATAGTTCAGAAAGTGCTTTTGGTCTAACATCTTATATACTCCTTATAACCTTTCCCCCATTTTTCCTCCTCATTTGTCAAAAAAGGTCATGGTTCACACTTCCTGTCACCTGGAATAATGTTACCGCACCCCTGTGTTTGAATCCAATCCATTCTTTTTTTTTTTTTTTAAAGATTTTTTATTTATTTATCAGAGAGAGAGAATGGGAGACAGAGAGCATGAGACGGGAGGATCAGAGGGAGAAGCAGACTCCCCGCTGAGCGGGGAGTCCGATGCGGGACTCGATCCCGGGACTCCAGGATCATGACCCGAGCCGAAAGCAGTTGCTTAACCAACTGAGCCACCCAGGCGCCCCTGAATCCAATCCATTCTTGAAGGACCAGATCAAATGTCATCCCTTGAAGCCTCACCTGGAAATATAAGCACATTCTGGTTGCTCCGACCACTTTAGGGTTTAAGACAAGCTCTGTTTATGAGCCAAGGTACCTAATGCCAACTTGGGCAGAGATGACATCTATTTCGATGTCTAGACACTGTATGTGAACAACGTAATGATTGAACAATATTGGCATTAGGAATAATTTGAAGGTGTGATGGACGATGTGGTGGAGCAGATCATATGGTTAGTCAGAAATGGGCAGGTCAAGGGGAGCTTGTTAAGCGGTTGGTTAGTAGAGCCTCTTAGGCTAGGGACTCCCTAGTATAACTGTCATATCTGATGCCTTCCATGGCACTTGACACATAGTAGGCCATTTAAAAATGTTGACTTAGTTCTTTTGTTCATTCATTTATTAATTTCCTATTGGGGAGAGGATGGTCCTCAGAATATAACCTGCCTGAAGATAAGAACCCCATCTCTCTCATTCCCCAGTGCCTTGCGGAGTGCCTGGTATAATTGGTTCTCCATAAACACTTGTGGAATGAGTGACTGAACTGAATGGAGAGAATGTGAGATGGAATCTGGCAGTTCTCTGCTTCAATCCCAACTCTGGCTCTCACTGGCTGTGTTGTCCTATAAATAAGGGAGAAGGATAAACCCAACTCTGCAGCTTAGTACTGGATACATTTAATAAATGGTCGGTGTTATTTATCCAACAAATAATCATCAAACCTGAACAACAAAAGCAGCTCTCTTTGGCAACTTAAAGTCATCCATTCTTCCTCCTTTGGTCATGTGAACCTGGCTGAGTATTCATTTATTCATTCATTCCACAACTATTGACTGAGCTCTTACTATGTGTTGGGTTCTGTTCTAGGAACAATGGGGAAGCCACCAGAAGGCTGTAAAACAGGAGGAACACCCTCAGACAAATGTGTTACAAGGATTCCTCCTTTTTGTGTGTGAAGAATGATTTAAAGGTGGGCAAGATGCAACAAGGAAGCACAGAGAATGTGTATTGCCAGAGAATGTGTATTGTACTTGTCTTTATGGAGAGGAAGATGTCTTAGTCTAGAGGGGAGGCCGTGGGGGTGGTGAGGAGATCTGGACTGTATTTTGGAGGCTGAGCAAAAAAGACTTGATGATGGGTTAGATATTGGGCGGGGGAGTGAAGAAAAGGGGGGGTTAGGTTTATGCCTCAAGTAACTGGCTGAGTGGAGCTGCTGTTTCCTGAGACAGTAGACACTTCCGAAGAGATTTGGAAAGGAATTCTGACAATCTCGATTTAGCTAGGATACTTTGCAGGTGCCTATTGGATATTGACGTGGGGTGCAGTAGAGAGATTGGAGCTGTATCTATTGAAAAGGTGGCATAGAAGGTACTTAAAGCCACGGGAACAGATGAGATCCTTTAATTAATTAATTAATTAGTTTATTTTTTGTTATGTTATGTTAGTCACCATACAGTACATCATTAGTTTTTGATGTAGTGTTCCATGATTCATTGTTTGCTTATAACACCCAGTGCTCCGTGCAAGATGAGATCCTTTTAAAAGGGACAGAGAGAAGCCTTGGGAATGAGCTGTGAGAGGCTCCTTCGTTTAGAGCTTGAGTACAGAAGTGGCCCAGCATGTGGGCTCGTAGAATTTAAGGGACAAGTTTCTGGGAAGAGGAATGTCCGTCCATATCAACAGCTGTTGAGAGCACTGAGCGAGATGAAGACAGAGAAGGGACACTGAAACTGGCATCTTGGAGGTCATCTGTGATTTGGCAAAGGCAGTTGCAACCAAGGGGAGGGGTGAAAATACCAAGGTAATAGGTGGCTGGGCTAACGGGAGGAGAGGGAATGGAGACACTGTGTGGCAGTGTCATGGGCTGATGGGTCGAGGCGGATGTGAGGTACAGGACACTTTGCTTCCTTGAAGGGGGAACCCTAGAGCATGTTTGTGGGTTGATAGGAGGAATCAAGAAGAGGGAGGGGTTGATGACCCATGAGGGAGAGGAGGCTGCAGCAAAGCGCCTGAGAAGGTGAGAGTGAGGGCTCCAGCCCACAGGTGTCCTGTCATATTTTGAGAGGCTCTTCTGGAAGGATGGAGAACATGAGTGACATCCATTTTGAGAGATGCTGGACATGAGAGTAAACATGACTGAGGGAAGTGAAATCTCTGGACCATAGAATTTCGGGCAGACCACCACACACACGGTATGGAGGTGCACTGACCAGGTGCATAAGCATTTTCTTGAAACAAAAATGTGATCCTGCAGGCGGAGGTCAAAATGTCGAACTATCACAGGAGTTCTGATGCCTCTAGGCCTGAGGCAAAGGGAAGGGAGATAGAAACTTCTAGAGAAGGGCAGAGTGGAAAGGAGGAGGAGGTCAAAGAGTGTGGGGGCCGGGAACGATAGCAGAAAGGAAGAAAGAGGAGGCAGGGAGGAAGAGGGGAGAACTTGTGTCAGAGGCAGCCCAGCCACACCTGTGGCTTTGCCCTTTAACTAACAGCCAAGGGCACGGCGAGTCATAGGAAACCGCTATAACCAGCACAGGTGTGACAACACAGCCCGGCTCCGCTCTTGGCCCGTGAGAAAGGAAGTGCTGGGACAGGGGCCTGGCTATAATTAGCACCCATGGGCAGCCTAGAAAGCTGCCTGCTCTGAGGTCGGAGAGTTCAGAGCTGGCATGTGAAAACAGGGCCGTGCAAACAGCCAGTGGAAACTCCCGTGGGAGGTTGGCCTCTGAAGTCCCTGTTGGTGCCTCCTGGGCTGGGAGCGCAGCCCTGCAAGCTGGCCACACCGAGCACGGACCCTGGAGCCAGCAAGGCTAGTGTCCAGATGAGGGCGGCCAGAATTCCTCGGGCTATCCCTTATCTGTCTGGGCAAATGTCCTTCCTTTGTGGCTGGCTTTCTCTGGCTTGTGGGGCAGCCCCAGCTGGTGGGAGTCGCACTGCCTTGGCAGACAGGGGAGGCCGGCCTTGGCAGATCTATAGAGGGCGATGCTTTCCTAAGGCCTCGTCTCCGTGGAGAGTATTT